CTCGGACCCCTGGCCTTTGACCTGTGGGGTCCCGCAAGGCTCCATTCTGTCTCCCATGCTTTTTAACATCTACATGAAACCGCTGGGAGAGGTCATCCGGAGTTTTGGAGTTGGGTGCCATCTCTATGCAGATGACACACAACTCTACTACTCTTTTCCACCTAACTCCAAGGAAGTCCCTCGGGTGCTGGACGAGTGCCTGGCCGCTGTGGCTATCTGGATGAGGACGAACAAGCTGAAGATCAATCCCGACAAGACAGAGGTCCTCCTGGTCAATCGTAAACTGGATCGGGGTATAGGGTGGCAACCTGTGCTGGATGGGGTTGCACTCCCCCTGAAGTTACAGGTCCTCCTGGACTCATCACTTACGCTTGAGGCTCAGGTGTTGGTGGTGGCTGGGAGGGCCTTTGCACAATTAAGATTCGTGCATCAACTGCGACCGTACCTCGGGAAGGCGGATCTGGCCAAGGTAGTCCACGCCTTAGTCACCTCTAGACTGGATTACTGCCATGCACTCTACGTGGGGCTGCCCTTGAAAACGGCTCGGAAATTCCAGATGGTCCAACGGGCGGCAGCCAGGTTGTTAACTGGGGCTCCTTACAGGGAGCGGTCAACCCTCCTGTTTAAGGAGCTCCACTGGCTGCCATTCATTTTCCGGACTCAATTCAAGGTGCAGGTTCTGACCTACAAAGCCCTGAATGGTTTGGGACCCGCCTACCTGCATGACCGCATCTCTGTATATGAACCCACACAATCTCTTCGATCATCTGGAAGCCTTCCATATCACTTAGCTCTTTGCCCAACTCCTTATCTAATGTTGCAGTTTCTGGTTCCTCTGACTGACCTTGAAGCCCTGCATTTTTTGAGCCAGTTTCCTCACAGAGAAAACCATAATTTCCCTGACTTGAATCATCACTTTGAGCCCAGGAAATCCCACAATCCTCTCTAAATCATCAGTGAATGCACCAGCTTTATGTGTAAAAGCAATGGTGAATTCAAACAAACAATCAAGAAAGATTGTGGATAAACAGTTAGAAAAGATATTATAATTATATGCAATTGATGCAATTGATGAAATTAGAATAGGTAAAAATAATAGAACTGACAGAGCTGTATTTTTGTAACATTCATGATGTTGCGGGGTGGGGGATATGTATTGATTTGGGGGGATATGATGTAACAAGGCCATTGTCATAGGTTAAATGTTTTTAAATAAGAAAATAAAGTTCATTTTATAAACATTAAAAATAAAAAAATAAAGTTTTTTTTTAAAAAAAGGATTAGCTCGTGGATTCAGCAGGATTGGCCGTATTTATTCTGTGAAGAACATAGTGATCATTCCTAAACTCAGAGTTGAATGGGAAGGGAGGGAGACAAGTAACTGCATAACCATATGGCAGGATTACCTCTGTAAAAATAGAATGCAGCTGAGATGACCATTTTTTGCTAACTGTGGATGAATCCAAACACAGATTGCATAGTAACAAATGCTCCAGATTGTTTAATATTAAATCAATGTAGCTATTCACATTACATCTCGGAAAATCTCATTTTGTCCCCACAATGTATGGTCTCTAATATTTCAAACATGCTTTGAGCTATTTTGGTTCTCTTGGTGGTTGTAGTATAAATAATACTTTGTGATGGTTATGTTACTGTTGAATCTGCCTGTACCTCTCCTTCTCTCACCCCATTTTTGTCGGCCCCAAAAGACAAAAAGGAATGTGCTTTCTCCCTTCCCAAATCCAAAGCTGCTGATGATAAACCCACATCCCCCTCCCCATCTGGAAAGGAGTGGCCCACATCCCCTCTTGCCAGAAAGCTAAGGAAAATTGTGTGTATGTACACCCACAGTCATTTGGCTTTACTAATGTGACTTTTAGACTAGATATACTCTTCTATATCCTAGGATCTGATCCCAGATTATTTGGTAGTGTAGACTCATATAATCCAGTTCAGAGCAGATAATTTGGGATCAGATCCTGAAATATGGGGCAATGTATTTCCAGCCTTACACCCCAACTAAAGACTTCAACTACGATACATCTTTTTTTTAAAGTATAATTTTTATTGATTAACATTTATGCTTGCAGACACCTAAAGAGGGGGAACAATACTGGTAATAGGAAAGTAGGAAAAGAGGAAAGAGGAAAAGAACAAAAAAAAAGAAGAAATTTGGAGGTAGTTGGGGGGGGGGGGGCTGGAAGGGGTTGAAGTGATTGAAAAAAAAGTGAGGGAAGTTGTTTATGGTGAGGAACTTCCAGTCCATTCCACAGAGATGCAAACATCACTTTGAGAAAAAATAATAAAAAAAGTTTTCTTTGTGTCGTCGCTATCCGAGTATTTTGATTATCTTATTTATATATTGATATTAATCTTCATTTTTTCCTGCAAATATTTTTTAAGTTGGTTCCACTCGGTTTGATTTTCCTTTTTCTGATTTTTAATTATCTGTGACAGTATATCCATATTCATAAATTCTCCTATCTTGGAGAGCCAGTTCTCTATTATTGGAGGGTCTTTGTCTTTCCATTTTTGGGCGACCGTAATTCTCGCCGCAGCGGTTAGATAAAAAAGAATCTTTTCTTCGTTTTTCCCAATTTCAAAATCCATTATATTCAGTAGGTAATATTCAGG